TTTTTTTTTTTTTTTTAATATTCAAGAGGCAAGAAGACCTCTTTTCTAAATGGTCTATTTATTAGTATTTTGATCAGAGAAATACAAGTCTACCATACCAAAGGTGTGCTGGAGTTGAGTGTCTCTTGGATGCAAGATACAAAGTCTTGAACTGTCACACTGGGTCAGGTTGGCCCTGGAGATGGATTTATAGCTGGATAGGCAAAGGTGCTGAAGAGAAGGAACCCTGTTCTCCTAGCTGGGACATTATGGGTGAGTGATACTGACATAGACAGTGGAAGGAAGAGCTGAATGTCTCATCTTAACGAGGAAAACTGTATACAGGTCTATAATTTGGGCAATGTCATAGACATCAGAGTACAAAGCTGGAACTGAGGCCACCAAAGGATCTTGAGACTCTTGGTGAAGACAGAGCCCCATGCCCTGTTTGAAGGGCCTACGAGCTGAGGTGGAGGGCAGGGGAGTTATAGAAATCTGAAATCACGAGGAAAAAAAATTAGGGTTTGTGCATGTTCTAGGTGAGGTGGGCACAATCCTTATAGCTGAAAGGATGTGGTTTAGTTGCTTTTGTGACTGCTGTTGTTGCTGCTGCTTCTTCAGTTTGAACCTCCTGTTTCTGAACCAAACCTTTACTGTTGAGTCATGTAGTTGAGTTTCAAAGCTAGTTCCTTTTGGAGAATTTTATCTGGAAACACATTCTGGCTAAACTCTTCATGCTGCTTTTGAGTGAATATGGTACGTTCTTGATGTCTCTTACATGTTCTGGGACTTGCTGGATCTTGTGGTATCAAATTTATGTGAAAATCATTCATGTTGAGATAAGTGTCTTTTGGAGATTGTCTGGGGCCATTCTGTTCATCAGGATTTCTTGAGTTCCTATTATGAATCCCATTGGAAGATCCGTTGTCAATCCTGCCTGATGTCACTCTTTCTCCAGAAATGCAGTTTTTTTAGTATGTCTTGATGGTGAAAGTCCATGTATTTAAAATCCCTACGTTTTTTGCTATAGGGCAGGTGCGCTTGCCAGAGAAACAGGAACAGAAAGCGAGAAATCACCCCCCCACCCCCCCCACCCCCCCCTC